GCGCAGGGCAGGGCGGTGCCACGGGGGGCGTGCGGTGTAGCACCACGGGGGGCGTGCGGCGCACTGCTGTGGGGAGCATGCGGCGCAGTGCCGCGGGGGTGCAGGGCCATGTGGTGCTATGGGGGACGTGCAGCGCGGCGCCACGGCGGATGCGGTGTGGTGGTACGGGGGAGAGCATGACAGTGTCGCAGAGGCGTGTCGTCGGTGTTACGGAGGACATGCAGTGCCGTGGGAGGGTGCAGTGCAGGGCAGTGCCACGGGCCGGTGCGGTGCCAGAGGGGATGCAGTTATCGGTGGGGCTGTGCAGTGCAGTCCAAGGAGGGTGCAGTGCCGCAGCGGGTGCAGGCAGTGCTCGGGGAGCACATGCAGCGCAGGCATGGGAGGGTGCAGTGTACTGCTATGGGGGCATGCAGTGCCATTGGGGGACATGCAGCGCAGCGCAGGGGATGCAGCGCCATGCCGTGTGCACACGACGGGGGGGTGCAGTGCAATGCCCCAGCGGTGAGCGCTCGCAGGGCAGTGCTGTGCAGCCCTGTGGAGGGGGTGAGCTGGGCCCCGCAGTGCTGTGCAGCACGGTCCCACCCCAAGGAGGGGGTGCCAGGTGCTGGGGGGGGGGGGGGGGCGGCACAAGGGCGTTTGGCTGGCAACAGGGGTGCAGGAGGCTCCTGGGCTCAGGGCTGCTGAAAGTCCAACTTTCCTGTTAAATATAAACCTGCCACAGCTCTCGCCCAGTTAACCGCTCCTGTGGCTGTGGCAGGCCCACACTCAACGGGCAAGCGAGGCAGGATCCTCCTGAGTCGCCTTCTCCCCCTGCCCAGACCCACACCAAAATGGCCACTGTCCCCCTTGGCTTCAACATCGACGCCCCGCGCTGGGACCAGAGCACCTTCGTGGGGCGCCTGAAGCATTTCCTCAACATCACCGACCCGCGGACGGTGCTGGTGCCAGAGGAGGAGCTGGACCGGGCCAAGGCCCTGGTGGAAGGCTGCAGGTGAGGGGCGGGAGTGCAGCCGGGGCAGGTACCATCCCTGTGCCCGCAGCTGTACCCGACCACCCTGCAGGGCTGCGGGGGTGTGGAGGCAGTCATTCCCCAGTGGGTGCGCTGGGACGTAACATCTGTTGGAGGTGGTTTTGGGGGAGTTTCCCAGGCTTCTCCCAGGGGCCTCAAGCTGGGACGAGTTTCCCTCACAGGAGATGTTTCCTCTGCCTTTTGTGTTTGGCACCCGGGGTGCCAGGTGCCAGTGGGGCTGCACGGCACCCCCTGACGGGCTCTGGGCTTGCAGGGCCGGGCTGGTGCCACCAGGAAGCAGCCGGGAGCAGCTGCTCTATGCCAAGAAGCTGTACGACTCGGCCTTCCACCCCGACAGCGGCGAGAAGATGAATCTCATTGGGAGGATGTCCTTCCAGGTGCCGGGGGGCATGGCCCTCACTGGCTGCATGCTCCAGTTCTACCGGTGAGCCCCTGGGGACACCAGGCTGGGGATGCAGCCCTGACAGCCCCCAGCCCCTTGAGGGGTCCCCAAGGGCCAGGCCACAGCCAGTCTGCCTCTTCCCCAGCTGGCCGCTACCCAAGGCATGCCCATGGCTGCTGCACCTGCCTCTGTCCCATGGCCAAGCCCTGGTATCCAGCACCCAGCCTGTGGTGGAAGCATCATGGATCCTCTCGGCCCCAGGCATGGCTGGGGATGGTCACGCTTCGCCCTGAGCTCAGCTCAGCTCAGCTCTTCCTGGAGCCCCTGTAATGAGTAACATGGCCAAGTCCTGCCTGGCCGCTGCTCTTGCTCCATGGACCATAATGGCCCCCAAAACTGAGGACCAAACATGCCCCCAGCCCAGGCTGCTCCAGCATCCCCAGCCCATGCTGACAGCTCCCTGCATTTCCCTTCTGAAATGGCTGCTGGGGGGGTGAGAGATCCTGTCCCTGGGGCAGAGGACGTGTGGGACAGACATTGCCTTTCCCAGTGGATCCCTGTCCCATCCCATCCCTGGCTGCTGGACTGATTTGCCAGTTGCTGGCAAGGTCCAGCCTGGGTGAGGGATCTCCCAGTGCTGATGGGTAACCCTCTTCCCAGCCCATCTCCACCCTCCCTGCATCCCAAAGCTTGCTCAGACCCACATCTCCCCGTGTCCCTTCCTGCCCCACCTCACTGTCCCTGAGGCACCGGTAGGAGCCCAGGCATCCTGGTCACCCCCAGAGCTGCCTCTGTCCCCGTGTGCCCCCTCCTTGCTGCTCCCATTGACAAAGGCTTATCTCAGCCCAGCAGGATGGCTGCCGCCCTGCTGAGAGGTGGGTCTCCCACCCCTGGCCAAGCACCCTGCAGGGCTGGGCCCCCTCCTGTGCTCTCCAAAGCCCTGCGGTAGCCAGGACTCCTGGGGTCATTTCCCAGCTCTGCCACTGGCTCACAGCTTTGCCACAGTGCCTCAGTTTCCCTTGGGAGACACCAGGACAAGGGTATCGAGGTCATCTTGGCTGTCCCCCCACCAAGCCTGGCCACAGGCACAAGGCCAGGTGTCCCTGACGGCCCTCGGGCTCTCTCCTGGTCCCTTCCCTCTGCAGGACAGTGCCTGCCGTGGTTTTCTGGCAGTGGGTGAACCAGTCCTTCAACGCCATTGTCAACTACACCAACCGCAATGCCGCCTCCCCCATCTCGCTGAGGTGAGCGTGCCCCTGCACAGGATGGGGACCCTCTGTGTTGTGACCCCCCTGGATACCCTGTAAAGACCCCCCGTGACCCATTTTGGGCACTGAAGGAACAGGATTGAGTCAGAGTTGGTGTTTCTGTTCTCTCCCTCCTTTGGAAATCACTGTCCAGGCAAACTGGGGTGGCTTACATCACGGCCACTGGTACAGCCCTGGTCACCGCGGTGGGACTCAACTTCTACACTAAGGTATGCCAGGACAGGGCTGGATGGGGCAGCTGGCTGCATCCTGCCCTCCCGTGCTGATGCCAGCCTGTCTCCTGCAGCGAGCCCCCCCCTTGCTGGCCCGCTGGGTCCCCTTTGCAGCCGTGGCTGCTGCCAACTGTGTCAATATCCCCATGATGCGGCAACAGTAAGTGCCATGCATGGCCAGGGCGCTCAAGGGACCCGGCTCCCTCCGAAGGCGAGCCGGTGGCAGCTGGGCTCCTGGGCTGCCTGGTAGTCCTGCCGTGGTTTCCCATCCTGGGGGCTGGAGGAGGTGGGAGTATGGGAGGGAGGTGACGTGGGGTCTGCACATTTGCGGCTTCGGGTCTCTGGTGGAGGGTGCTGGGTGGGGTGGCTCAGTCTCTGCCTGGAGTGGGAGGGGGATTTTGGGCTGAGGATAGCCGTTCTGGGGTCTGGGCTGGAAGATCCCTCAGACCCAAAGGTCTTCTGCATGTGGTCATGGGAGAGCCCCAGTCCACGATGTCCTGGCGCTGGGACCCCCTAGATGGGGCCCATGTGGAGACCTGTGTCTGCTGCTTGGGGTCCGCTGTGGGTCACGGCATGAGGAGGTGG